CTGCAATAAATGCCAAGGAATCATAATTAGTTTCATTGGAAACAGAAAATAACGCATATATATTCCCCCGTAATGCAGGAAATGCAAAACCCCCATGCTGCAATAGTATGACTCAGAAAATAACTATTTTGGGAGGTAGCATTTCCTTCATAGGATTTCACATTCTAATTCAGGGATGAAGTTCTCCTGAGTGTCAGGGATGGGGAACACTATTTAACCAGTGGGTGCCCACTTAACGATGACCACAGAAACTCCATGCTATGTTTCTGCTGTGCACAGTGCTTGGCCAGCCTTTTGCTCCATTTGTGATCAACGTCCATGGAATAAACACACAGCGGAGTAGATAACACAGAAGAGATAACTCAATAACTCAGAAAAATGGCCGCTTCCAGGCTTTACAAACACACCACTGCTCAAAATAAGAAAGTTGGTTTTGCTCAGGGTTGGATCATATGATAGTTCTTATTTGGGTGGGACCCAGAGAAGTTATCCTGAAGACAATAGCAAGAATTTTAGAAAATCTGTGGTATAATTCCATCAACAGTCTTAGTCCTGTTGACCCACCCAGGGGCATTGTCCAGAGGATCCACTAATGCTCTCTCCGCTACAGACAGTAAGAACGGATGCAAACTATTCATACACTGCAGGAATCTGCCAGGCTGCCATGCATTCATGTGTTCCCAGGGCCATTTCAGAGTGGTAGGAAAGAAGACATTTCTGTTCTTCCCTGGACATCGGTCAGAAAGCTGGCACACAAGCCACTTCCAACATGGTGGCTCCTATGACTCCATTTGGGTTGCATTATGAAGTCCCAGGATTCGAAAGATTTCTATTTGCTCGTGTTTGAAAGTTCCTGACATTTGTTGTATCCATTGGCCCAAGAGCCGTGAATGACTAAGGAGCTGTTTCATTTCTGCACCTCAGGATACAATGAAACGGCCCAGTAACTGCTTCAACCAAATCGTCATTTCTTTACAGTCAGAGGGAGAAGAGTGAGGTATTCACAGAGCCCCCTCTGCGGTAAGCAGCTGTTCATTTACGATATGAAATGCTAAAACAAGGAGGGAAGGAAAAGCTTGAGTTAACAATTCAATTATCTGTGTGCGTGGTGAAGAATTAGGGGGAACATAAAAGGCAAGGTCAGCAGAGTACTGTGTGCAGGGACGCGCCCTCTCTTGTCAGCATTTACTTTGTTCCTGGTCATAGCCTGAGAGTTCTGGAATGCAGCCACACCGCTTCTCAGGGACGCTGCTCCTCCCCAGCTCCACGTGCTGGGAATCATAAGATGCAATGCTAGAATCAACATCTCAGGTCAGAAAAGTACTCGGGGTCTGGTTCAAGCCGGATCCTCCACATCAGGTCTAAGAACTCTGGGAGATGATGGTCACCAAGTTTTTTCTAGGCTGCAGCTTATGTTGTGGTGAGCAGGCTGGTTATCATAAGCTACTGAGGGCTCCAGGGAGAAGCATGGGGAGCCGGTTTAGCCAATTCAAGCCCAGAAACCTACATTTTCTAATAGTATAATATTTTGTTACCTGCCAGTTCTGTCTTTGATCTAAATGAATTAGGGATATAGTGAGTAGATTACATTTATGTTGCAAGCTGTGTCAATAATTATATTATGGATAGAATCTGGAACGATTCATTTGATTAGTGACCCTGACAGAATTAAATGATAGGTAATATTATTTATCTCTGGTTTTTCTGTTGTTGGTCCCTCTGTTAGGAGGTTTGCTGCTGGGCAAACCTTGACCTTTCTGTATGTTCCATGTAATCTGCACGTGAGAACAAGCACCGGGCATCCAGATTTAGGTGTTGTCTTTCTATAAGATTTGGGGAAATGCAGTTAAAAGCCACTGGAGAACCAGGGATTTGTGGAAAGTTATAGATGAAGCTTCATTCTAGATGAAAACAAACATTGGCTGAGAAGAAGGCGAACTTAGGGGCAGACCCGCTTGCTGAGAGGAATAATCGGGAGACCTTCTCCAGTTAGTTCCTCCTTGTTTCCTAAAATGACAAATAGTACTGGGAATGGAGTAGACTGGTAAAGAATAGTCGTGGTGTGGGCCAGCTTACATAGGGCATTCTATATTAGCACCCAGGTAGGCACTAAAGACAACTGCTGGGCACTCAGTACGGGACACAGAAGCAAAACAAGAAAATGGTGGCATTATACTAGAAACACATCCTTCAAAGGGTAGTGGTGAGGCAAAAAAGTAGACCTTTGGGGATTCTAATTTAAGCAAACTAGTTGTCTAAAAATTACAACTCAATTTCCACCCCCGTTTCTCTCTTGCTCTTTTCCCACTTTCTTGCTTTCTCTCTCTCTGTACATATGCATATATACATATATATTATATACATATACATGTGTTTATATACATGTACATACTCATAAGCCATATTCCTGGGAATCATGAACACTGCTGAGATACACAATGATATTAAGATCACTGCTAGTTATTTTGACTGGGTTTTATTTCCAGGGACCTTCTTTTAGGGATACTATTGTTGTTTACAGGATGGGATACCTGGGCCTGCTTCCCAACAATTCAGTGGGCTGAGAAACTACACAGGGAACCAGCTAGCCATGGATGTCCTGGGAGACGCAATGATGGTCACTACACACTGCTTCTCTGTTTTCTGTATGGACTTGAGATTTCATAGTTTAAACACTGTCTCTGCACCTGATTTTACTAACAAGGTTAAATAGAAAATAACCCTCCTAGAAATCCTCATATATGCCGCAGGTAAATAGGTGTTTGAATAGCCTGCCTCTCTTTCCATTGGTTGCAGCAGCTGCCCTCTGTGGCCCTACCTAAACCACATGGCCAGTGCGGCTATAAGACACTGGCCCTTGAGGAGGCCTGGCTTGGCTCTGCCTAGTTTTTTTACAGCAAGGTTTTCTTCTAAATGGCTTTCCTGCTTGGGACCTGGCCTTTGCCGTCCTTTCACGTCCATTCTCACTAGCGCTGTCAACTCATGAGGCTTGGTCTTTCCTTCCTGGAACATTTTCAAAACACAACCCTGACTACATTGCAATCTTAGGTGAAGCCTTCTTATCAATTCTCTAACTCCTTAACAGATCACAACCTAGCATTTGCAGGAGCTGAGCTCCAGATGGCCACACTGTCCTCTTTTATCTCAATCCAAGCCCCAGAGCCTCTCCTGGTAGAGTCACAAGTCCTTGCTCAGCTGTCGGATGATGTTCTGTCTGCAGCTTTACTCCCTGTGCACCCAGATCTTTCCTCTTGTGTTCCTGGGGAATTTCTCCTTCTACCTCAAAACTTGACCCATGTGCCTTATTTTCTAAGGACGCCCTAGTCTCTTAGTTGGGTTTGGTGTCTGTCTGTCACGTTAGTGTTTTCACCTTTCCAACTCCTCGTTTAAGCTTCTTCCTTAACTAAAAGAAGAAAAAAGTTTAAGTTTTCTTGAATGAAAGAATTCAAGGCTAAGGAATAGGATTCAGTCTGATAAAGAGAAGCTTTGAAGCCCATATGCTATTGCAACACAGTACCTAAGAGTCCTTCATCTCAAGGCCCAGTTTTTGACAAGATTCATCCTATGGCATATACTTTTAATTCTGTATATACATTATTTAATGTATATGGGAGTTTTGCTTGCACATATGTCTATGCGCCACATGCATGCCTGGTGCCCAAGGAGGCCAGAAGAGGGTTGTGTATGCCCTGGAACTGGAGTTACAGATGGCTGTGAGCCTCCATGTAGATGCTGGGAATTAAACATTGGTCCTCTGGAAGAGCAGTAAGTGCTTTAACCAAAGAATCATCTCTCCAGCCCTATCCCGTGTTTTTACTATTTCTCTCATTAGAAGAGAATCCCCCCAAACATGGTTTTATCCTCATATCTTCATACCCCAGAACTCTGTCTGGCATCAGGGGGAATTCCGAAAATTCTCAAGAAGAGCAGCAGGATGGAGGATTGTTAGCATGCAGGCAGATACCCAGGAAGAGCTCTCTAAAATAGTGACAGCCCACAGTGGGCCAAGTCTATGTCCCTTCTAGGCAGATGACACAAAGCCAGTGCAGCTCCATGTAGAGTGCGAAGCCAAGACCTCGGTGACCACTAGGGGGCCACGCCGACCCTGAACTTCCTCCCTTTAAGGTTCTGGAGTGTTAGTTCAGCCTCAGGCTGAACTTCGGAATCCATTTGCCCTTCTGGGTTTCAGCCCAGCAAGCATCTGAAAGGCCACGTTGCCTAGGAGGACAGCACTATTTGGAAAGCTATGTTCAGAGCATTTTGGAGGTGGAAGCTCTCCAAGCCTCGGTCCTTGAGGCTGCTCTAACTTCCAAAGCTCAGGAAGGAGCAGCTAGAATCTTCAACCCCGAGAGAAAGGAGCACCTGTGAAGACAGGGTGCCACATCACCAGAAAGTTGCAAAGCGAGCCTAAACAGACGCTAATGATATTATAAGCAGCCTTTATATCCCAACAGCAGGTTTATAACTAATAGCGGGAGGCAGGAAAGGGGCCAGCCTGCTTGTACGTTCAGCATAGCTCTAGTTAAGGAAATTAATGGGACCACAGAGCAGATGTGAAATGGCTGCATTACTTGTCTGTAATGTTATTTTCTGCCTTATTGAGTGCTGCCTGTTTAACAAAATGAACACTGTCTGGCTTGAATCCATAACAGCAGCAGCTGCCATGGCCAAAGAGGAGGTTCGGATTCAAAGAGGGGTTTTGGAAGGGATACACATGCAGGTCAATCAAAATTCACTTCAACTAAAAAAAAAAAAAAACTGATTGGAAGTAGTCTTGGAGTTGGACTAGCCAGAGAAAACAAGCCACTCAGAGAGCCCCTCGCTACGGCTGCTTCCCTGTGCTAAGGCTAGTTTACAGCAAAGCTGGGCACTCGGGGTATTTGCACGAGATATGGAAAGTTTATGAGTGGAATTAAATGTCTTTATGAAAGTGATCGTTTCTGAGTCTCAAGCTGTGATTGAAGGACCAGCAACTTTGGCATCATCTGAGAGCTGGTTAG